ATGAGCCAAAGCCAATTTAAGACAGCAAAGAGAGTATTTACAAGAGGCACGTTCTAATGGTGGAAATGTCAGAAACTCAGATACCATCTTGCTGTTCTCAGATCCTTATTTTTCACATGACATAGTACCACTTCTGTATGAGGTCACGCAGACCTTTGTCCCTTTCCTTTCCACCACAAAGACTGATGAAAATATAAACTAAATCCACATACAGAGAAAGCTCAATAATTCAGGCTCACCATGGAGAAAGCCAGTGGAAGCTACTAAAGCCTGATGTCTAGAGCCCTAGGAGATGGTGTATACTTTTTTAAAAAGTACATTCAATAACGTGAAGTAACTTAACCAAGTATTGACTTTTGCTGGTACTTGGGGGGGTTAAATTGATAGATTAAAATACATCACTATAGCATATTGCATATTGATTTGTTCTCTTTGGGAGAATAAACATTTTCCCCTACAAGATAACTTCTACATTATTTCTTAATTCACTTTTTTCAGAGCACTTAACATCTGATCTAAATCCAGTTCAGCTAAGTGCAAATTTTGAAACCCTGAGTCTGAATTTCTATTTTACTGCAAAACTAAAAAGCATTCTTATGCCCACTGTTGGATAGTTACCCTGACATTCTCCAAGATCTTGTCAGAGATTTCTTTCTGTGTTTAGATGTCAAGATATTAATTGCTTTTTGCAGTGTGCGGTGACTCATGCTTAAAGTAATTACTTTTCCTTAATGACTCAAGCAGAGAAGCTGGTGACATTTGTAAATGGTAGAAGGGATAAAAGGAGCCGACGTGTTCTGTCTTCACCATCTTCCTCCTCCACGCTGTGACTTCATCTGTAAGAAAGGTGCTGAGATGACTTCCTTCATCAGCTCCATCCTCTGCTTATAAGGTGAAGCACAACCAAGTGTCTCTGGGAGGACATTATACTGAGGGAGGCTATGCTTAGTGAAAGGAAAAGACTGGACTGCTGGAGAGAATAAAGAGCCCCAAAACCCACTAAATAGCACTGATTAGTGGATTATCAAATGTGAAACAACATCTGCACCTCCTGCTTCACATCAGGTACAAATATGAATTCCAGCAGGAGTACGTATCTACAAAAAGTAAAACAGAGCTTCTAGAAGAAAACTCGGAACATCTCCATACCCTTTCCTAAAGGTCAGGTAAATATTTAAGCAGGACGAAATTGCCAGTCACAATGAGAAAAATAATGAATTTCTATATTAAAATCCGGAACTTCCATTCATCAAAAAGATACCATCAAGACAGTAAAACTATAGTTCACTGAAAGGAAAAATAATATCTGTAATATATCAGACAGAGAATTCGTTTCCGTAATATACAAAGAAAAACAAAAACACAACCCAATAGAAAATGAAACAGGGTATCCAAATTGCCAATAAACATACAAAAAGGTAGCGAGTCTCATTAGTCATCAGGGAAATGCTAATTAAACCCATAATGAGATGACACTACACACTCAGCAGCATGGCTAAAGAGAAAGACACAAGCAACTGTTGAATGGGATGTGGAGAAGGGGACCTCCATGCGTACCCTGGATGAGAGTGTAGCTGGGTAGAACCAAGCTGAACAAGGTTCTGGCAACATCCACAAAAGCAGATCATTAACGTGTCTCACAACATAACAGTTTTACTCCTGGGCATAATAGTCGCAAAGAACACTGACCAGAACACACAGCCCTAACGCAGATGCCATCAAATGTCCACCCAGCAGTGAAATGGATGAGCCAGTCACAACATCACCCCAAGGAGTGACTGAAGTGGGAGAGGACCACAAGCACACCACGGCCTGGGCATCTCTCACCAACGTCAAGCTGCGGGATAAAAGACACAAAGGAGTACACACTACCTCGCTAAGCAAAGCAAAGCTGTCTTCTTATAGAGCAGGAGGGTGTTTTTTCTTTGCAGGGCTTTTAACTGGAGGGGCCATCTGGGGGCTAAGATGTTCCGGTTTTACTCTGGGTGCTGATTCCATGTAAGCATTCAATGTATGTAAAAACATCAAGCTGGACACGCACTGTGTATGCATAAAACTGAAAACTCACATCTGGGCACAGAACAAAATCTTGCTGCAAGATATTTTATAGTCTCCAGTTTATTTTTGTTATAGTTGGAGAGGCAGATTTTACATGATAGCTTCAAACCAACCATTGTACATTAACCAAATTTTACACAAGCCATTTGAAAAAGGATCTAAAAATGTGCTTAGTATTGGTATTATATAACATTTATCAAGCACCAAGAGTGTGCTGAGAGCTGTACAGAACAAACACAAAAAAGACAAAGTCCCTGCCTTCGAGGATACCCATACCGCAGGGTCTTGCACATAAAACTTCACCTTTTATTTCACACTCTTTTGTTCATAAGGCATAAATAAGGAAGTTTGTTGCATTTCTCATTGTTACTGAATAAATAGCTAATACCCTTTTCCCCAGGTATATGAACAATCGCTTGTATCTTTTCCTTTAAATACAAATTTTCTGTGGTACAATATACAGTATATATTGATTTGGTAATCACACAATTGATCACAATATTCTTGCAGGTTGGTTATAATATGAAGCACATTGAGTTTCGACATTCACAAATTTTTATACCACTTAATAGAATCTTTTATTGTTGGCAGAGGGTTTTTTTATTTAAAAACAAACATTGAGGTGTCACTGTAAACAAAAACACACACTGCCTTGATTCCAGTAAGGGTATCAGACTATGGCACAGACACTCAGGATAGTAATTTAACACATGGACTAAACTAGCCTTGCAGATAACAGTCACTGAATTACATGCCCTAAAATACTTATGATCAGTGAGTAATGGGTGACATGGGGATGATCAGCTTCATTGTCTTTCTAGGTTAAACATGGGAGTACTGGTATAAAATGTCTGAAATCTGTGAGCAGGGAAATTTTCTTTCTTTTATTTTGCTTTTCTGCAAGGCTGTGTTCAAAACAAATTTAGATTAGAAAAGAGAATAAAACAATTCTGAATTTAATCATTGGATCATAAAATAATCCCTTTAATAATACCACTTGATTGTTTATTTTTTTAAATGCAAGAAAAATAAAATGAATCTTGATCATGTAGAGTACAAGACTTGGGTAGAACAGATTGTACTTTGTGTGACAGTGCCACAGAGGGTGGTGGAAGATGGCCCAAGTCCGGAAGGTAGGCCACCCTTTGTCACCTGGGAACTCCCTGAAGCCTGGGTGAGAGACAGGACGAAGACATTAGAGGAATGGATAGCTGCTTCCTTCTTGGCCAGACTCTGTCTTGCTCCACTCTGCAGACTGAGGGATGGGAGGAGCTGGGGGAGTCTGGAGCCCAGGGGAAGAAGGGTACGGCAAGCTTGGGTCAAGGGAGAAAGAATCCAACTTTGAATTTTACTTTCTATAGATCCCCAGACCCCAAGCATCTATGAGCCTTGAGAATAGCAAAGGTCTGTGCTTCAATACTAGGTTCCATGCCCACCTCACCTTTGGCCGTTACCTGCTCTCCCAGGGCATTACCAGGTCTAGCCGTTTTCATTAGGTAGCAAGAACAGTGAGCTGAAATTTACAGTTAGACTGCACTTAGAGCAAGACTGAATTTCTCTGGCTATCTCCCAAGGCTTGAAAAGGGCAGAGGAAAATTCTACAGCGCCCTCTCACTTCCATGCTTGAGGTGGGGCTTTGCCTTTTCCCCTAGGTAACTAGGCACGTGGCCCAGATAGGGCTCAGTAGGAATAGTTTCACCCACGGGCAGTGACAAAGCAGTTTGGTCCAGCCCTCAAGATCCTACCTGCCAGATGGAGGAGTCAGGTAGGGATCTGATTAAGATTTTCCTTATCCTGGGTGAGCACATCTCTGGTGTTCTGCAAATCACAGAGCAAGAGGTTGGGAACTACTATCTCTGATGCTCTGACAGCTTAATCTGTGATAAAGAGCAAAGTGGCAGGATTAGAATGTGGTGTAGAGAGTCTTACTGGTTGAAGGGGGAAAGCAACTCCCAAGGGTGTCAACCAGTACCTTCTTTGGAATGAAAGAAACATTATTTAATGTGCCCAGTCTAAAACAGTGCACCAAAAGACTAAAATTCTGACAACAGACAATAATATATAGATATATTTTTTCATTTTCAATTATAAATCTCCATACTAAGGCTTAAAGTTCAGTCACCTAATTGAAAATCCACACATAAACATGAAAAATAAATAACATGAAGACCTCTAAAATAAAGGTTCTGCCAGAGATTTAGTTCAGTGGCGCCATCGCCTGCCTCGCAAATGTAAGGTCCCGAGTTTGATCCCTGGTACAAAAACAAACAAACAAGCAAACAAACAAACAAACAAAGGTTCCTGCAGATAACAGCAGCCATCCTTTGTTTGTTAACATCAAAATACACTGACTATTCCTTAATAATGGACAGTGGATTAGATGCAGCAAGCTAAGCACTGTTTGGGATTGTTTGGGATGATTGCTGGACTCCTATTGCTTTAAAGATTGAGGTGCTCCCCAACTCCTACGTGCAGGAATTTATCATTCCATCCAGAATGGCGATCCCACCAAAATTAACATATATCCTACTCTGTTATCAAAAGAATGTAAGGTTGCTACTTTCTGTCAATCATCTTTCCTTTAACACATAACAAGACAAGAGATGCAGGTGGTGATAAGGATTCATTCTGTCCAGTTACTGTCTGAGCACCATTCTAGAGGTGGAAGCCAGATCACCCTTGGATGAAATTACACTGGGAAAACCTTGTTCTCCAGTTAGTTAACAGAGAAGACACAAATGAAAATTAGGTATCCAGATAGATATGGAATACTAGATAAATGGTTAAATAGATGCTATTTTTTTGTTCTGCTGACAAGTTTTCAAAATTGTGGAATAGGTGTTGCGATACCTCAGTGCCAGTATCATGTTGTTCAACAAGCTTTCAACATTTTTTTAAAGCCACTGGGAATGGCTGACACTAGTGGTGCATGGAAATCTGTGGTTATAATGTCGACATTTTGCCATTGTCTCTGCTCTTCAAGGCACAAGGACAAGTTCCAAGCTCTCCAGAGTAAAACATCTGGTTCCACTGAGAGAGAGAGTTGAGGACTGGGGCCACATGCCAAAGCAAGAGGGGGACATCCTTGGGGGTGACTATAACTTCTGAATATTGACCTTACACCAGCAGCAAGCAGCTCCTGCACATCATGGATTGGCGACTAGAAGTTCTCCGGGCCTGACTACCTTGGCCTGCTATGCAGAAAAAGCACAGTTTGGACCATGCTTGGCTTGGTAATCTTACTCCTTCCTCCCCTGGGCACAAGGAGGAAGGTCCAGTCTGTTCCCATGAAAAATCCACAAGGAGGCAGACACTGCTGCAGTGATGAGAGAAGGGCAAGCACAAAGTCAGCAGCCCTTGAGAAAAGTCACCAAGAAGTCTGATCCTTGAAGGATATACACCCTATTTCTTTACCAGCAATGGCCTCAGAGCAGTAAGGAAAACAGCTCATCCCTTTTTTCTCATCTCCCTATCTCCCTTAGCTTTTCCAAGGTATTAATACCTTGTATTAATGTATTAAATACCCTCTGTATAATTTATACCCTGCCATAAAACATCATCAAAATGGGAAGAATCCAATTAATCTTCCCCTTTTTTTTGCTTAGAATATTTAATTTGGATTTACTGATAGTCCATTACATTCTTTTGGTAGGAAAAGATATTGCACTTCTAAAAGTGCATCAAGAGTATAATTAAGTCAAAGCTAATAGGTAGGTAGATGTCTCTCTATATATGCTCTTAAGACTACCTTTAGCATTTACAGAAAAGCTTCCGTGATTTCATCTTTATTTCAATAATCTGTGGCCACATTGCTGCAAGCTTTTAAAACACAGAGGAAGACACTGATCACAGTAAGCTGCACGCAACACCAGTCCATGGGCTCATGACTTCATGGTGCAGATGGGCACGACAATGACGAGGATGACAGTGCACGTAGCAGCCGCAATCAGAGCAGCTATCTTGCAGACTTTGGCTCGTCTGAATTCAGCTTCTTTCCGTTTCAGTAGTGAATCATAGCCTGGAGTATAAATGTCTTCCATCCAATACTCTAAGTTGTTTGGATTTAAAGATTCTTGTGTCTAAAAGTGAAGAGAAGATGTTAGAAATATGGTGAGTACTTGAAACCAGGTCAAAGATGTGTGACAGTTGTCACTCCTGAAGCACTTAAGAGCTGTCTGCATCTGGGAGCTGGCAAGGACTGTGTCAGGGTTGCAGCCCCAGTGGCCCTGTGCCCTCCAAGGCTACCGATGACTAAGGTGCACATCATGGACTGCCCTGGGTCCTCTTTTACTAAAAGTGCCACGATGGTGACTTTGACACAGGAAAGCCCAAGGGTCTCCTGTCTATAAGCAAGCAAAACAGGGCTGGGACAAATAAGACTCTAAGCTTCAAGGGCAGGCAACCAAAGCCAGGCCGGCTCTGCTGCCAAGGAAGAAGGGAGTCACTGCAAAATGCTCTGCCAACAGCCTCCTGGAACTGACCTGCTGGAAGCAAGACCATCATAGGACTCCAAGTTCCCATTTCTCAGAAAGGCTTCTGCTAAAAATCAAGGCACCTCCACAATAAATAGCTCAAACAAAACATGAAATATTTCAGCTACAAACATTTGTTGAGCAGGTCAGGCTCAAAATCAATGTCTACAGACCCATGGCCAAGTGTCCCCAGCCCAGGCCTGTTTCAGCAATCACAGTGGACTGGGAGCAGCTTGGAAAGACAGACCCAGGGGTGCCTATCTCTTGGGCTCTCTGAGATTAATGAATTGTCTGCAGGAGAAATATCATGTTTAACCTATATTGCCCATGAACCCTTTTCCACACTGATAGTCATAATCTATTTCCACAGAGAAAGGCAGTTTCTTGATTTATGGCAGGGATTTAAGAATGTAAGTGTCACAAAAAATGACAACACGTTGCACTTCCAAGTGAGCTCATCTGAATCTCCAAAACATAAATCAAATACTGTTTTGAAGATTTCTTTTGAATCAGTTAATGTTCATAAACACAACCCCCACATACACACCACCACCACCACCATACACACACACACACACACACACACACACACACACACACACAGAGGATCAAAGCCAAACCCTTCACTACCTTAACAACCTCGGCTGTACCATGCTGTTAGTGAAACACTGATTCTGATGCCTGCTAGGAACTTTCTACCTGCACCTCTGCTGTGCTTTATGGGGTCCCCCTGCCCTCTACCTTCCGTTAGGGGACAGGCAGAGGCATGGAGGACAGAGAGGGGGAGGCGTTTACTCCTTCAGCTCCATGCCTGCTGTGCTGAAGCCTGGCTCCCAGAGCTGTGCATCTGTACAGTTCTGAGAAACAGCTGACCCAGAGGGGCAACAGCTTCTGCCTGCGCCGGTCCCTTTGGCCCTGAGCCCAGCTCTGCCATGGGCACAGTGCCGTCCTGACCGGCCTCTCAGGCCCCTCTGTGTGCAGTCTGCTTCCTCACCCCTCTACTTTTGTTCCTTGCAGAGTGTGGCCTGCAGATCTCACCTGTAGACTCCTCCTTAGACTGGCTTTTCTATTTCTAAATCCTTAAAACAAATTAAAAAAAGAATAATATCTTGTGACACATAAAAATTATAAGATATGCAAATCTCAATTACAAACAAAATTATACTGTAACACAACCAGGCCCATTCATTCACAAATTGTCTATAGGTGCTTTTGCATTGTAAGGAGAGTTGAGCAGCTGGGACGGAGACAGCCGACACTCAGAAGACCCCTGCTCCAAAGCTATGTAGAATGGCTGCGGATGCTATATGGGAGCAGGACACTTACTCAGGACAGGTCTTTGAGTGCAGGTGGTCTGTCTGCCTTGAGACTCTGCAAGACATGTCTGGGCAGGGGCCTCACACCATCCCACAGCCTCACTCTGAGCCACCCTGAGCAGCTCTATCAGTGCCACTCTGACATGAGAACACATGTCCTAGAGCCCAACTACTCCGCAGCCAGCCCCTACACACACACCACAACCATGCACACCAGCACACACAGAGCTCCACCCTTGTGGGCACTAGGGCTGGCTTCTCTCCCCCGATGAACCCATGAGGCCAATTCTGCATCATTTTCTCTGCTTATTGGGTGACCAGGCTGAGGGGGAGGTGTGTGACCCCAAAGCACTCCTGACCTGGCACACTGAAGGTGCAAAGGTGGAAAAAGCCTGCCTTTCTTCCCAGCCCCAAGGCTGGCTGAGATGGTAAACTGTATGCAGGAAACATCAGATGTCCTGCCTTGTTCCCTCTGCCTCAGATAGAAGGGATCAACTTCCTTTCAAAGCTATTGACACTTTATTACAGGCTAGGATTCTGCCTGTGAAATAAACTATTTTTAATTTGTTTTTTTCCCTAGTAACTGCAAGCTATAATGGTGCTGTGTAACACAGAGGTAATCTCAAGGTTCCCAGGGGCAGGGGTGGAGCCCCTCATGGCTAATTAGGCTGCCAGATGCTGGAAATAAACACAGGCCACACCTCTGCCTGTCCCTGCAAAAGGAAGCACCAATGGCGAATGCACATCTGGACAACAGCGACCTCCAGATGCTCAGCTGACCTGAGATGGTGCCTGCATCCCTGCAAGGGACTGAGAACAAGGAACGCAATGCCTGTCTCCATCAGGCTCTGCTTCGAGTCAGACTTCTTGCAAAACATCAAGCCATTTCCTCAGCTTTGTAACTAGATGCTGCATCCTTCGCATTATATGGAGTGTTACCCAAAGCACGGTAGCCTATTTTTTTTATAACTGCCTATATGCTTATAAACCTTGGTTCATTAAAATCACACACATCCATACAGGGAAAATCTTCCAACTCCCTGCCCCTAAACCTTAAAATGATGTTCCTCAGTCTCATTCAAAGCATCAGACTCGCTCAAAAGCAGCCTGTGGCACTGAAAACACTGGGGATCCCACCAGTCAAGTGTGTGGCACCTGAGGTCCTCTCTGGCAGCCTGGAGGCTGGTGACTGCCTGACCCCCATATAGCAAGGTGCAAGCAAGCCCCGCAAAGCCACCCTGGGACCCACTTGGGGAGATCGTATCCTTGTCCAGACTGCTGCGCATAGGAAGGTCACAGTGGCCCAGAGGACAAGTGATAGGCGACATGTGGAGATAAACACACACACACACACACAGTTGGACCTTGGTTATACACTTGCTGCTGCCAAAGACCTAGGATCTGACAGAGCTTCCCTTTCCTGTAGTCACTGTCATTTAAGGCCCAGATACACAAGTGTAACTGCAAACATCTGTTTGTGTCACAACGCTCTAATAACTTATCAAGAGAAAAAATGGGTTGGTGTAGAAGTGAGACTTACTGTGAGATGGTCCAATGTGAGTCTAGGCTTGTCTGACCTGGGGCAATTTACTGAGTTTCCTAGTGCCTCTGTTTCCTCATTTGTAAATTGGAGAGAGTGGTGACAATCCCTGCCTTGAAGACCACTGTGCTCGAACCTGGGTGATTCCTGGGAAGAGCACCATGCCATGGTGATTGATGTTAGCACCTTCACCAGCGGTCTTGGAGCCTACTTAACTCCAGGTCTTTGGGCAGATTGCTTCCAGTCCTCACGGGGATGCTATGAGTTTGCCCAAGTGAGGCCAATGCTCCAGCTCACAAGGCACAGGCACCAGGAACCCAGTGTTGCTGGAACCCCGTCCCTTCTGTCCACCACCTGCCCCTACACAGACCTCTGCATCACAGCTCAGCCACTGCAGGGAGCCTCCCCACACCAACCCTTACCAGAAGCTCTTGCCAACTATGCCCCAAGTGTATGTCATTCTGGGCAGGAACTGGCACCCTTGGTGCTCTGCCGTTGCTGCCCACAAAGCCTCACCCGCAGGTGAGAACAGGTGCTTCCTTTGGTTCATGATGATGTGGAGGCTCAAGTAGATGTGTGTGGGTGGAGCCAGGAGCTACCAGGCAGAACAGAAGTGTGGCCCAAACCCAGCCCTGCCTGCCCTGTAGCCACAGTGGCATTCCCAGATCTTCCAGGGATGGCTCTTACCTGGGGCTGTTCCGTATGGAAACATAATCCATAGCTTGGCTCCCACAAATATGCTTATCCCACGTGCTACACAGGGAGGGAGAGAGCGGCTTGCGTTTCATTAGGCTGTTTGGCTCAGGTCTCGTGAGCAAAGATTAGAATCTGCACTTGGTCTTAAACGTATCGTTAGCACATCAGACAGCCAACAAGTAAGTAAACAGACAAAGCAAGCATCCCCACTGCTAAGGGTTTATATAAACAACTAAGCAAAACAACAATCCCCTTGTTTAAAAAAAAAAAATCTCTTCTGCTCTCTGATTCACTAAGGCTCAGAACTGCATGGTGGGCCCGGGAGTCAAAGGGTAGGGAGTCACTGGCCTAGTCTGACCCAACTGCTCCCACGCCTGAGGGCAGAGACAAATGCTCACCTGCAGGTCCAGAGCCGCCAGCTTGCCTTTGTCACCAGCATTCCGTGCATATTCCTCCACTGTCCAGGAGGGCTGACCTCGTCGTACCTCAGCCAGCTCTGTCAGCCGCATGTCCGTGTACAGGGGGTTGCTCTTCATGTGGGCCTTGAGGGACGCAGGATAGGGGTGGGGGCTGAACACCTGCTCCACCAGGAAGCCGTCCTTCGGTTGCTTGGGCAGGCGGTGCTGCGGGGGGACATCATATTGCCTGTCAGCCTGCAGAGGGGAAAGAGAAGGCAAGAAGCACGGCTCTCGAAGAGCCACTGGGCAGCCAGCAGCTTTTTGTCATGAGGCCCTGGCAGTGCCAAGCTAGCAGCTCAGTTACTCTTGCGCAGACAGGAAGAGTAGCTGTGCTGGGGAAGTTCTCTTCTGACCCAGACTGCACTAATCTGAGCTAAAGTTTCCACCCCAGGAGCAGGACCTTCAGTCTGACTCATTCACCTCAGTTTACTGCCGTTCGGGTGTCATCTGGCCTCAGAGTTTGTAACGGGGCCTCTGACACCTTCCCCTTCTACTTTCTGGCCTAAAGGTCTCCAGACTTCACTCCCTGCGGCAGGTCCTCCTGGCCTGCAGAGGCCAGGACTGTGTTGGTCTGTGTGACATCCTAGGACTGGTAACAGACCCCTTAGCCATCGTGTGTCACACTAACTGGTCACTACCCATTTGCCTGTCCATCTCCCCACAAAGCTAGGAGACCCTCGAAGGCAGAGGATTATCTTGCTCAACTTTTAATGCACTGAGAACACCTTCCATCACTATTCACCAAAGGTAGGAAAGACAAAGACAGGAAGTTGAGTGTACAAATCAGAGAGCAGCCCAGCTGGAAGAGAACAGGAGAAATGGAGAGTGTGCAGCAACATGTGCATGGAAGGAGGAGCGTGAGAGACACAAGCCAGAGTACATCACTCATGGTGGTAGCTTATTGTGTCCCTGGCCCACTGCTGTTCCCAGAGGGAGCATGGTGCCTGCTTCTGCACCCTTCAAGGATGTTGGCACAGACACAAAACATGAGATGAACTCAGTGAAACCCCAAGAAGAAATGGGGTTCTAACCCTCTAGGAGGCCCTGTCAGACTTTACTACCCTGCACATCAACACTCCCAGCTCCCATGCAAACCCCACTGAGCCCACAGCCAGCACTAAGGGGGCAGTGATAACAGCCACAGTGGCAGCCTTGGAGTGGTGAGCACAGCACAGTGCCAAACAAGTGTCCTCCCGCTGCATCTTCTCTTGGACATCTCAGGTTGTCCCTGAGATGATCCCCACTGCAAGTGCGGAAACTCAAATCAGAGAGGTTAAGACTGACAGGCTGTACAGCTACTGAGGGGCAGGGCAGGACATACTCAACAAGTCTTTAGTTGTTCTTCCTACGATGAGGAGTTTATGCTCATGCTAGGCAATGGAGATATATATATATAATACATGTGCTTTAATCCCTGTCTGTGCCAGCTCCACCCAGACAAAGAGGCCCAGGACCTAGACAGAGACCAGGAAGCTTCCAAAGACTCATGGATGAAGGGAACAGAGGATTTCCTTAGATCAGCAAAGTGGTGCTGGATCCACTATTCTTTTTCATTTTTTATTTTTGGTACTGAGGATTGAACTTCACACTGAGGTCTATCCCCACCCCTTTTTGAATTGTGAGTTAGGGTCTTACCAAGTCACTATTTGTTCAGGCTGGGCTTGAACTTGGGACCCACCTGCCTTGGCCTCCCCAAGTGCTATGGTTACAGGTATGTACCACCACACCCAGCTGAATCAGCCATTCTTGACGGAGGAACTGTGAAGGTAGAACGGGGCCTGGCACCAACAAATGCTTGGTTGGCACCACTGACAGGGTCACAGAGTGAATGAGCAGGGCTCAGGATGAGCAGAGCATGCTGACTGGGCAGAAATACTTAAAATCTATAGAGCTTTCAAATCCCGGCTAAGAAGTTTCACATTTTTTTTTTCTACAGCAAAGAAAGTAGAGCCAAAGAGGCATTGAGTGCAGGGCTCCTGCACAGCTGCAGAGTGGAGCTGGGGAAGTATAAACACAGTGACCCTGAGCTGAGAGGAAGGCAGGGCGTGAGCCCCAAGCCCCAGGGGGCTGCACTAAGAGCCTGGCAGGGTGGGATTCAATGGTGAGGAGACAGCAGGGACGCAGGAGACATCACAAAGACAGAGCCACTGGGTCCAGAATGTGCTTGAGAGTCCTGCCCAGCCTCTAGGCCTAGAGAAAGGATAGAATGGTGACCTCCAACAAAGGGAGTGAGAAGGGAGAACACTGGCTTTAAACACAAAGGAAAGTCTGATTTGAGACCTGCAGGAAGAGATCTAGGGCCTTCAACAAGGGGGAAACAGGGGAAGAGGCTCCAAGGGGTCCCGGGCTGGGCATCACCATGGGAATCATCAGCCCAGAGGTGGTAAGAGCCATGAGAAAAAAGCAGGGTCACAGAAGGAAGTGAAGTGAAGATAGCACATATCCAGTGGATTCCAATGAGACTGTGACCTTGCATAGCTGAAACGGGGTTAGTTTGTAGGACTTGATCTTCCAGTGGAGGCACACAACTGCTGGAGTGCCCTACATGCTGCTCATGTTAACGTGGCCTAAGCTAGGAGCACAGATCAGAGGACAGGAATCATGCTGGGCACCTTGTCCAAGGGGCAGGCATCATCCTCTGGCAAAAGTCTACCTCACAGTGACTGGCACAGTCCCCCCAGGAAACTTTGAGGTCAGGGAAACAAATGACTTCTTCAATATCCTCTTCACACTGCTCTGGACCCTGAAAACTTAAACAGAACCCAGTTTTCCAAGCTTTTATTTCTTTGCATCACTGAAGATTCAGCCTCCTGGGCCTGGAAGCCATGTCTCTCTCCTTCTCTGACATCTGTCTCCATCTTTGGGACCTCAGCAGCCTGAAGTCTGGACAGTGACCTTTAGAAGCCGGGAAAGGAATGGAGACCAGCAACAGACTAAAGTGGCCAGAAGAGGTTCACCAGAACCCACCAGGAATGAAGAGGAGGAGCCACAGGTTCCACTAAAATGATCTTCCTTATGGCATGAGGAGGGCAAAAGGACAGCACTGATTATCTATCTGTGTGAGTGTACAGGTTCCAGAGGGAGAGGTGTGCCAAACATTGAAGCTCACACACAAAGCACAGAACATACAACTGTGCAGAGGGAGAAAAACTGAAGAAGAGAGACTGCATTTTGAGAGCAAATGATTTTGCATGATGGAATAATGAATGAGTTCTTTATTTACCTTCTCATTTTACTAATTATCAGCTAATGGAAAAAAAAAGCCATTCTTTTGGGTTGGGGGCAGGTACCGGGGATCAAATGCAGGTCCTTGCGCTTGAGAGGCAGGCAGTGGAACCACTGAGCTAAATCCCTGACTCCAAAACAAGCCATTTTTAAAAAAAAGGAATATCACATACATAGCAAAGCTCAAGAAAGGGGCAGGTCAGCACTTCCCCTGTTTGCCTGCCTGGGCCTCAGCGAGGACAGGAAGCTAACCTCAGACATGCCCGCCTGCCGACACACCGCCTTCTATGAAAATCATCCTCACGCCACCTGCCCAGTATCCTAAGCACACTGTCTGAGGCCGACAATCACAGCTTGTGCTCAAGTAGCAGCCGGACAGCTTGGCTTATGTCACCCTCTCTGTACTCGGGGCAACGCAGGCCAGTCTGGAAGAGGACCAGTGCAGGCAGGCCAGCCCTCTCTCTGGCTTAGTGCAGAGCTTGCCACTTGGACACACACCAAGGCTGTGCTCGAGCTGTGCCAAGTTCGTGGGCACAACCCCTTTACCTCTTTGGATTTCCGGTGCCAGTCCTTGGTGTCTCCGGCATCCACATCCTTTACCTCCTCCTCACTGGGGCCCACACGGCTGGTATAAGTGATGGTGCGCCAGTCTCGGGGGGAATTGGAGATGCTGGCTATTTTGGACTCCGTAGCGCTGTTCTCCTCAGTCAGGGACCTGGAAGACGGCCTGGCGAAGAGGCTTTTCTTCAGGGCCTTGACCCGCAGACTTTCACTGTTGCTACCACTGGCATCGGAGCAGCACCACTCCCCACTGGGCTCTAGCTTGGGAGTGTGGGTACTGTTGTGGGCATGGAATACCCTGGGGGAGGCGCTGTCATCAGACGGGGCCTCACTGGTCAAAGAGTTCAGATCCATGTGTGCATGCACCTGCTCTGGCTGCTGCATCTTCTGATCTAGTTTGTTCAGCTTGCCGAGGACCTGGGAGATCTCCTCTCGGACACCTGACAACGACTCGAGCTTCCTCTCGATCTCCCCGATCCTGAGCACAAGCTTGCACACACTGGTCTTCAGCTCCTCCTCTGAGCGGTGCAGATTTTCAGGCCGGCTGCCCTTGTCTGCCTTGCTTGTGGGGACCCCGCTGGTAATTCTGGTGAGGTTGTGTTCTGGGGAGCTGTCACAGTCTGACTTGTGGAGCTGAGACAGGGACCCAGTGCTGTTGTAGCAGGACGAGTGTATTACCCCGGTGGAGCCACTGACGCTCATGTCATCGAGAAATCGGAAGATGTCGCTGATGTCATCGCTGACAACCTCTGAGTCATCATCCGAGTGCTTCCCAGCGTGTCTGTCTCCATACTTGCTCTGAGCCGCTGCACACAGATCTTTGCATTTCTTGGGCTCCATTGTGTGCTGCTCTGTCTGGGTGCCCACACTGCTGGTGTCGGAGCTGACCTGTCGGCTGGCACAGCCAATGGTCTTGTTCTTGAACTTCTTCGCTGGTTCCAGCTTCTCCAGGTCAACAGGAGAGGAGAGCTCCTTGGATTTGAGCACATTTGGCTTGGCCACGTAGCCAACAGGTAGAATTTGCTGTGGATCCTTCGGCACCAAGTAAGCCGGGCGCCTGTCTGGGGTTGAGAAATTAGGGGTCTGGTTGCTGGGATTTGGGTAGTGTAGCTTCTCCTCGGAGGGATTTCTGTTGAAAAAGGACCGCTCGAAGTCCGGGACCTCCTCAGTGTTCAGGCTCCAGCTCTTGACTGGCCAGGGAGTCTGCTTGCTGGGCCTCCCCGGACAGTGCCTGGCATCCTGGGTCCCCATCACTGGAGTGGGTCCGAAGTAGGTAGAGGCCTGGAGATCATCCAAGCTCTCATGCTTCACTCGCCGCTTGTCTGGCACAGGAGAATACATGGGATTCAGGTACTGGCTGTGGTAGGGCATCTCAAAGCTGTGATTGAAGAAGGGGGGCTTCTGGGGCTCCTTGCGCCCCTGGGGCTCCCCATGCTCACCCTCGGCCTTGTTGCCTGGGCCAACAAAGCTGGGAGATACTGGCATGAGGTTGTGAAAGTCCTCTTTGAAGATGTTCCTTTTCTGCACACAGGTCTGGACCACAAAGGGCTCCTCAGGGGGCATGAAGGTCTCCTTGAGGCCCTGGCTGATGGGCAGGGGCTCCTGGTCCGACATGGACTCACTCTCCAGGTTCATGGGGAAGTACGTCCTCTGCATCTCGCAGGGCTGAGGGCTGGCCACTGAGTACGGGGCCAGGGCCTGCAGCCTGTCGAGGGAGGTGGCCCGGCTCTTCCCCTCCTTGCTGACACCCAGCAGAAAGTTGGGCTCAGAGGCAGGGACGAACTGTGGACAGTCCTTGCAGTCCCTTTTCCGGCACTTGGCAGACTGCCGGGTAGGGTAGCCATGGCTGAAGGGCTGCTCGTTCAATTCACAGGTCAAGGGCTCACACTCATCCACACTACAAACCTCTGTGTCTGACCTGCACGATTCAAAGGAGGCTCCCTTCTTGTGCACCTTGGGGCGGCCTGTGGGCAGCTTCTCCTTGGCAGCGCCCCCGTTCATCTGGATCAGGTTGAATATCGTCACGATATCTGCTGCCACCATGATCTTCTTTGACTGCTGGTTATTCACGGTGCATTTCATCTTGTCTTTGAATAATGTGGCTGGGAAGTTGGGATCGAGACAAGCCGTGTAGAAAAGCACGCTTCTCAGTTTAGTGAGCTGGGACAGGTCAAAGCGGGCACACAGGGATCTGCACAAGTCCTGGTAGGACACGGTATTTTGCTTGCTGTCCAACTCCTCCAAAATCTTCACCAGGAAGAGAGACGTCTCCTGATTCCCCTCCATGACTTAGGATTTGGAAAGTTGGCTGATGATGCTGAAACTTCAGGTCGGCTCTACAATGATGGTATCAAAAAGGAGGGAAGAAAAGAGGGTTATAAACACCAGTGGAGTTTTAAATATAGCTTGGTGCACTTAAACACATGGAAAAGCACTTTAGTGACTAAAAATGTATTAAAGACTTTAAAAACATAACACTCTATTTAATAATTTTTCCCCATAATCTACCTTAAAAAAACAATTGATGCATGAAGACATTCACTACAATAGGATATATAATGATGAAAAAATAAAATACTGCATTAGTCAATTAATAGAGAAAACAACAATAAAACAAGTAATGATAAGCCATGAAGCTCTACAAACATTAAAGTTACACTAATGTACACCCTTTTAATGAAATACTACTCATCACTAAAAAAGAGCCAACTACCAGAACACGCAGTGACACTGCGGAATCAAGAAGTAAGAGGAGCCCGAGTCCCTGGCCACATACCACGCTGAAACATGTGGCTCTATTTTATAGACTTCTGGAAGACAGGTCAGCAGCTGCCAAGAGCTGGACATGAAGGGAGAGACTGACCTACAAAGGGCACAGAGGAATTTTCCAGAACGATGGATCTGCTCTACATCTCGGTAGTGGTAGTAGTCACACAACTACGCATTTATCAAAACTAAGGGAACTATACACTACAGATAGTAAGATTTAAAAAATACAATATTACATGTTATTGGAAGCAACAATGAAATGTTAATAGTGTTTAAATTTAGATTTTAAAATATGGACCTTTTTCTGGATTAGGCATTTCTCTCCCCCAATATTTTATGGTATAAATTTTCAAATATAAAACAAGTTTGAAAAAATTTTATACTGAAAATCTATATACCCACATCTGGATCCTGTCATTAACATTTTACTATATGTCCTTGACCATATATCTATCCAGCTACCCATTATCAGTCCATTTTATTTGTACTTCCAAGTAAATTGGAGACATCTGTAAGTTTCCTCCTAAAGACTTTGTCATCCATATTATTTATCCAAGTTCAATAATTGCTTAGTTTTTATTTTTATATCAAGTTTGCATAAAATTATATTAAGTGTGCACTGCCTAAAGTCCCAACAAATATGTAACCAACACCTGTGAAAAGATCTACAAAACTCCCACTGTTCCAGAAGTTTCCTCATGCCCTTTTCTGCTCCAGGGCTCCACAACTTTGCTGTCCTCAGAAGATGTCTCAACATTCATTCCTGCTTTGCCTGGCTAGCGAATTACTGATCCCAGACCAAAAACCTACTCAAAAAAACAAAAACAAAAACCCAAGGCCCAGAGCCTCCTGAAGAGAGTGGCAGAAACACAAACACTATGATAAATATGAGTCATTTTTTTATCCCAAGTGAAGTCAACGGTCTGTGAGTGGACACAGGTGCATGGACACAGCTGTGACACATGTGCATTAACACAGGTGTGGCCCAGGTGCATGGACACAGGTACAGACACAGATGCACAGACGCATGTGTTACACAGGTGGAGCACAGACACAGGTGTGGTACAGGTACACATGGTGGTGGCCAGTCATCAGTGACCCTCCACACAGATTTGCTGACCCTCAGAGCGGAAATGGAGCAAAGAGTGATACACCAGAAAACAGGCTTTTAGGCAGTGTCTCAGACCCAGTGTGGAACATGCAGCCACTGGCCAGCTGCCTCATCTGACCACACAAATACCACTGCAGCTGCAGTTTACAGATGAGGAAACTGTGGAACAGAGAGGGGAGTAACTAAATAACCCAGAGAAGGCAGCAGTTGCCCAGATCCAACCCTGGATTAGGGGCCCAAGGTATTGTGACACCGCTGAAGAGACATCAGGCTCACTGCCTGACAGAGGAGAAAAAGCATCCTTTGCCAAGTGATGGAGGTACCACAGAGACAGCGTGGTCTGACCTCTGGGAGCTCAACTTTGAAAGGTAGTCTATTTGAAGAGCAAGACACCCCCACCTAAGGCATGATGTTGGCCTATTTCACATTTTCAACTTCCTTACAGACTTCAATTCCCACTGTTGAAAACTCCAATCTCAACCACGGGCTTTTAGGGACCTCCATTAGGCCCATGAGTTCCTGCTCTGTCTGATTACACACTGCTTCAGAGGGAAATAGACACAAGGCCACGGGACTCATTACTCAGTCCTTGTTAAAGTTCAGGAACTGATCCCATGTGGAAGATCTGAGGGCCATAGGCTGAAATTACCTGCTCAATACTCAGAACATCCCCTCACCTGCTCAGCCCAGCCTGGCTCCCTATCATCTCTGGCTTCTACCTCTGCACCTGCTTGCCTCCCCTGAAGTTCTGTGGACTCAGCCTTACAAAACAAAAGGGATTCAGTTCCTGAAATCATAGGCACTTGGCCCTAGGAAGCTTTTCATGAGCACTGGGTATGTGACACTGTGCTAGGAACAGCTGGAAAGGGCAAGTGCACTGCCCTCATTCAGCTTACAATCTCAGGAAAGAAGGCAGTCTTTAGGGTCAGGGCTGGGTGGGACCACAGTGAACAATTGCCTAAGCCCCTCATTTTATGGATGAGGAAACTGAGGTTCAGAGGATGACAAGACTTTTCAAAGGTACATGGGGAGGTAGTGGCAGAACTGGCTCAGCAGCCGGGGCACCTGACAGGTATCCAAAGGTCTACAAGTATCCAAAGTGCCTGGGATGATAGGTGGCAGGGGAGCCTAAACGAGGACTGGACCTGGGTGAGAGTGAGCTGGAGTCTAGCCACAGGCCTAAGAAGCAGCCAGCTTTGCAGAAGCCTCAAAGACTGAAGGGGAAGTGGGTGTTTGAGGGTCTAGGGGAAGGGGACAAAGTGGTTATCTGGGCAGAGGGTGGGGGGCCTGAAGGTGCAGAGTAATACAAGTGTGTCTCTGGTCAGGATGGGAGAAGGAGGAGAGCTGGACAAGCAAGTGGGACTTGGACAGGAGATTTGCTATGTTTTGAACGGTCCCCTCCAAAATTCAGAAGTTGCCAATTGATGGCATTGGGAGGTAGGGCTGTTAAGAGGCCATTAGGCCGTGAAGGTGCCTCCTTCACGTGTGAGATTAGAAAAGAGGTTCCATGCAGCCATTCCTCACAGCTCTTCCCCTTCTGCTATGTGAGAGTGCAAAAGAAGCCCTTACCTGATACCAGAGACTGGTGCCTTGACCTTGGACTTCCTAGCTTCTGCAACTGTGTGCAATAAATCTGATTTCTATAGATGAGCCAGTAATAGGTATTCTACTATAGCAATGCCACAACTAAGACAGGCAGAACACTAGACTCTGAGAGGGGGCACAGCTGGATGCATGCTGGAGGGGCAGGCCTGGGTGAAAAGGAGCAGGAACCACATGTCTGATGGTCTTCCTCCTGTGGCACCTGCTCATGCCTCACCCCACACTTTAGTATGAGACTGCTGCCATGGTCCAGTTCTTAGGCTCACACAGATGTCCACGCATGCACAGCTGGATGTTTTTTAAACTGTTCACGTGATGCCATCTGATGTTAATCAAAACAGTAGAACAAGAAAAATGATTTAGGGGTGTAATTTGTAGGATTGCTTTTTGAATCTTTGGACAAAAGATAAGCTCTCTGATTTTCATTTCTACTAATCCCTTTAAAGGATTAATCTTTCCTTTTGCCACTGACAACCCAGGAAGTCAGATGACAATGAATGCTATAAATTTTTAACTGGATTAGCAAAACTCAGTTATAGTCTTATTAAAGCTTTCTCATTGGCCATAATGCATTGATCTTTCAAAAACCAAAACAAAGTACAGAGATGTAATGTGGCCACAGTGTCCTTACTTCACGCCCATGAAAAGCATGAGAATTTGTCTCCATCATTTGTGTAATTCCTGGCTTGGTATTGACCTGTTTATGGCCTCCAATTGTGTTTTGTTTTATTATGTTTTCCAGCATTGAGGCTGCTACTGTGATTTAATGAAACTATGGATTCAGTGAAACTGTAAAAGGAAGGAATCAATCTAGAAATCTAAAATGTATGATCAGGAATGTCTACCTTCTTTGTGTTTAATACAACTGCAACTAAAGGGAGACTCTCTCTCCTAAAGTTAGCTTCTAATTCACAAAAACACCAGAGAGGGTGTCAAGGAGATGAAGTGAGGGTCCACACTGTTGTTTGCCAAGTGTTTCCTGCAGAGCTCAGCCCCAGTGCAAAGTCTTTGACAAAGAAGCCAAGAAATTATAAAGCAATTTCCAGATATGGCAAGAAGGTACCCTTAGAAAATGGAACCAAATTCCCTTATGAACACCTAGAGATACTGGACAAAATATAGTCTTTTTTTTTCCTTAAGGTGCATAGGTGAGTTTGCAGGAGAGCAAGATAAACACCCAGATGCCAGAGGCAGGGCTAAGCCTGGAGGTAACAAATGTCAGGAGGACGGTAGGTTCTGTGGCTGTCTTAGAGGTGGGGAGACTTCAGAGGTGAAGATGGATGCACTGACCCCAATTAAATCTGGGGCACTTGAAGGACTGCCCCTAGTACTGAGTTAAACATGAAATAGAAAAAGAATCTAGGATTCTGGTCAGCTTCTACCTGTGCTCTGCATTCAAAAAGTCCAAGGTTACCCTTTAGAAATGCAAAATAATGACTAAGTCTTAAAGACTTTATGTACCAAATTTATGTTGCCAAAGATATAGGAGCTCTTGAGCTCAGAGAGAGAATAATGTAAGAGTTGCCTCCATTTTGATAATGGTAGTCAAAACAAGGAGAAGAAAAATTCAGAGAAGACAAACCACGCTGAAGTTTAATTATATTTGTAAAAATCACATTGCTCCACAATAAGTAAAAGCCAACAGACACAAGGTAAGCAGCAGGATTAAATATTCAAAATCTTCTCAAAAGGAAACCATAATTCAAAAAATTGTAAATATTGATAAAAGGGTAAAATTAAAAAAATAAGGAATCTGCACTGACACCAAAAAAATAACAGATTTGGAAAAGAGCTAAACAGCATGTTAGGAAAGAAAAATCATTGAAGTAAAAAATAGAATGGATTTGGTAATAT